CGCAGTGGTCGTAGGTAGATTGCGCGAGGCCACTGCTTCGCGTCTCGCGCGACATGGGCTGCGGCCAAGGATGTCTTGTCATAAGTTTTCCCAAGCGACGCCCGCGTGGTCTTAGAGGACAGACAGAGTTGCCGTCAGCTATGCATGTGTTGTCGAAGAGGCGGGCGTATCTTGTCGCCTGTACGCGCTATGATGCGCTCGGCCCAATGTGTCCTACAGTAGCCACTTGTGTGAGTATGGCTCACTCAGCAAAAACCGGACGACGCACGTTGCAGTCGGTCTAGCCACAGTGCAAATACCACTCCTGGGGCTGTTCACTTGTTTCCTATCCCCCATAGGTGTCCGTTGAATTCAATAATTCTAGAGTTTGATGAGCACCAGGACTTGAAGTGTCTGCAGCTACTGGATAACGAAGAATTGGATGTCACTGGGGACATGGGCTCTGAACACGAGTCGGAGAACGATGAAGAATCAGATACCACTCCACAGTAACGTTGCAGACCCTCCCTGTGCGTCCTGACCACGTCACCATCTATTATCTGCTTCGCACATTCGCACTCCCTTCCCAAAATTCTCCCACTGACATGCATGTCCTGTCCCTTGCATCGACCTTTATTCCCTCTCCCCGGTAACATCCCAACAGTGCCTCCGAGACAGCCGCGCACGGCACCAATCAGGGAACGCGACGTCTCCACTTCGTCCTCGCAGTCGTCTCCAGATCCTGTGTCTATCCCATCGTGCTGGCGCGGCCGCAGTCGGCGCACGGCAACCTGCACCACGACATCTGCTACTGCCAGATCGCCCGCATCCATCACGCTCGCAACGTCCCGGGCGAGTGTTTCCACCTCTGTCTGCGTATGGCGCACCAAAGCTCGCGATTTCGCGTCGCCCCGCAGAAGCGCACAACACACACGGCGCACACCTTGCGCCGCCGAAATCGGCCGCTTCGGACATTGGCTTTTCGTCGGTGTATGCGCGAAGTGCCCTGAAGGAACCTAACCGAGGTGACCGCGCGAAAGGAATTCAGAGATGGAGAGGGATGGGTGGCGGCGGTGGCGCAAGAGTCGGCGCGAGAGTCGGCGCGAAGGTCTGCAGGAGCGTCGAAGTGAGGGCGAGAGTCGGTACAGGGGCGGATGCGGTGCTGGATCGCTGTAGACAGAAGGGACAAGCTGGACTGCAAGGAACGGATCTACCTTTTTCTTATTTAATCCCCATTATGTTTATGGCGAAGGACATTATCCGCAGATTTACTTGCTTTGTCATCGTACTTGATTATTGTGCTTGGCTGCCAGACGAATATCACAAACATGCACAATTGTTTACTATAACCAATGGTATATATTTAATTTCTCATCTACCAATACTGGATAGGAACGCGAATCAGCAACATGAGACTGTAGTCAAGCATTTGAGCGTACCATCAAATATCCACTAAATTTGCCTTCGTACGGCCCTGCATCAGCGACATCGCAGGACCCAGCGAGCACCAGGACGGCACCATCATATGCTCATGGCGCAGGGCAAGCATATAATCTGACACGCCGCAAGTACGACGCCTCAAGGGCTTCAACTTTCATGCAACGAATGTCGGCCTTTGCGGCAGCAGAAAATCAAGGGCTGCTCGAGAATCTGCGAAGGTTCGCAGATGCCAAGCGAGCAATAGCTGAATTCGCGACCGCCTATGCGACGCCCGAAGGGCCACAATACGTTCGCACATATTACGACTGGTAGAAAGGATTTGCTGTCGGGGATGAACAACGAGGCCAACGTCTTCGGCAAGGCGGTGATCTGCGTGCATGTTGTCAAGTGGCAGGATTTCCAGGTTTCGTGATTGAATTTTGCGCCACGGCCAGACGAGAGGCGAAGAGTGCGAAGAGGCCAAGACGAACGGCGTTCTTCTGTGGTGGCTCCGCAGGGCACGCTTGATCGTACCATCCACGTACGAGGCGCAACAGCCTAGTCTTACCGTCTTGTCAGCAACGCATTCGGCGCACTATGAGTTCAGGACACCTGCGTCTGAGACCCTCGGATCGACACCATCCACAGCCGTGCGCGGATTGTCGGAGTAATGCGTAACCGGGCCATCGCTTTCTCGAGGCCCTGATAGGTATCCTTCTCTGCTGGCCGGCGATCCGGGGCCGCTGCGTCCATTGATGCCCCACTAAAGGACTTGCGCTGAGTATCGTACAAGACGGGGCAGAGCATACTGGTTGGATCGTTGTACATGCCGTTCGCTGATCTGAGTGTCGTACGCATCTCGTAGGCAGAGCGTTTGGGCCGAAGGAACGAGTGGTGGGTTGCGACTGGTTGCAGAACAATGGCGAGGACCGGGCGCAGCGATCCTGGTGGAACATCTTGTCAAAAATTGTACGAAATGACGAATGCGTGCTTGGAGTAGCTCACCTAAGGATATTGTACGTTTGACTTATGTACCCGATCTCATATCTGCCTCAGCGATGGGCTGGCGCAGCGCATCATCGAGGCAATAATCGGCCCATAAGGCAGACTAATCACCGCGGGGGAGAAGGCAGACAACGACGGGTAGAATTTGCTGGAGTCGCGGCGGTAAGCAGAGAACTAGCCGTTGGGAAAGCGCAGTTCACCATGTCGGGCGTAAAAGTGTTCTCTTTGCTGCACGGCTGAATCCCCAGAGCTCACACTCAAGAGCAGCTGCAGGTGCTTGATTGAGAAGCGGACGCGCGAACAACATGTCAGGCGCTTATGTGACAAGAGTCACACGTGACTCATGCTAAACACGAGGATTTTCCAGAGCGGCCCGTCGGCCCGTCCCGGTTTTCGCACCAGCAACACACTGTGACCGGAGCACGACAAACGTTGTCACCTCACTGTGCACTCAGGTACCGACTCTATCTCGTTCCCGTCCCGCTCTGATTCGTTGAACGTGCGACAGACACCCAACTCGGCATATGTAGACGTATGTCTTCTCATCTTCACGTATCGCGTAAATACTCACGAGCGTGGATCTTTCAGTCGTAAGCCTGTACCCGGAGGCTAACGAGTTTTCATGAAGCTGAGTTGTGCCGGTCACATTTGCCATCGCTATTACCGGCGATTCAGATGGCCACAGCCTTGCGGCGAGTCCCGTTCCACTTGACGAATCTGACCGTCTCTTACTTACACTCTGACCTGCCATAGATCTACCTTTGTATCGCCCGAACGGGCGTTCCTCCAGCCGAAGAATGGCTGAACGGACCTCGTGTGTCTTACTACGCGTCACGTAGCGTTCTGTCTGGTGGACGAGCTTGTCAGATTGCAGACTGTACGTCATCTTTTCATACCCACTTCTTGCTATGCTGACGGAGCAAATGTCGCGTCCTCCAGGACGCTGCATTGTGTTGTGTACTATGCCTCAACGTTGGAAACGCGCCGGGTGCTGCCGCGCTAGCTCACGCTGTGGAGACGCGGAGACAACGCAGGATATTGTCTAGAGAGATACTTGAGGTGTTTGGGGCGAGGGGGCATGCTGTTGAAATTCCAGTGATGAGGCGATGCGTGAGATTTTGATTGTTCTGTAGTGTTATGACGTAGATGTGAACGAAGAACCGGATTTTATCGGTCGTAAACCACCTGCTGCTTTTTTGTCTAACGTCAGTTACCGTATCAGGGCGTCCGGCATGATCGGCAAGGCCTAAGATATCCGAGCACATACACGCATGCGACCTCCGTCTCTCTGTATCTGATACTGTACTCCATATTTGACCAGTGTGAAGCACCTCTGAGCTGCAACTGCAGATTCAACAATCTGCTGTCGCAATCGGGGATCTCAGGAACCAACGAATGTAACTCTACGTTCGCACCACTAGCACTCATTCTCGCGTTCGTGGACGTCAGGCCCGCTCACAAATATCCATACTGTTACGTAGCAGTGAATACACATTCTCTGCCCTCTGTTTCCTACTGAAAGAGTCTGCTGTCTCGGTTGCCCCTGCCTTATTCCTGGCCTCGTCAAGGTTCAGCCCGCCCGTTCACGAACGCCGCTTCCCTCGCGTTTGCTCTTGCACTCACCCCTGCCCTGCCCTTGCCTTCACACTTGTCCTGTTCCTCGCTCTTGACATTGCCCTTACCCCCCTTATTCGAATAGCTGGCGATAAACCGCGCTATCCGTCGTGAGCGCCGACACGGATGCTGTGCTTCTAGGTGTTGCACTCCCCATTGAAAGGAACGTCTGGATAGTGTCTCCACGCCGTGAATATCTGAACTGCACCACAGATATCTGCGTGGCCCAGCATGCGCGTGCGCCACGGCGACGCTGCGCCAGTTTGACCGAACGGAAGCCCCTGCTTGAACATGTTGGAGGAGGATGGTGGAGCGCGCGTGGCTCACCTCGAGGAAGCTGCTGTTCTGCGGCCAGTGTCGGTGCGCACGTTGCCCGTCATGGCGAACCGTACAACCGCGGATGGCAGCACTGGTCCTTCTGGTGCTGCAGCGTCCTCGTGCGTATATGGCAGCTGAAACCTAAATTCTGAGTATCTATTCGTCCACGCATTCCGTGTGCAAGGCAGAACATGCCAAATAAGATGCTCACCAGGCTCGAGCGAGGGCACATCCCTGAGCGGTGGCATAGCCGTGACCGCCGAGGAAATCGGCACTTGCAAGATGTAGCTCACAACCTCATAGAGAGTGGGTAGAATGAAGCTTCGATTGACACAGGCGAACGCAGCGCAGAGCGCCCAGCTTGTCGTGTGGTAGGTGCCCTAGTACTGGCAGGTGAGCAAGGGCATTCTGTGAGTTTGTAATGAGTGGCGGCAGGCTCTAGCTCGAGAACGGCCTACGACAGAGGAGATTGTGGAATCACCATGCATGCGAGCAGTAGAGAACGGTGGCGAGACGAACGTACAAGTGTGCGTGAGCAGAGTCTCGGCAATGACGACCCTACATGCGATTGTAGAGGAAGAAGCGCACCTGAAATCGCCGAGCACCGCATCGAAGCATTCAGGTAACGCGAAGTTATATGCTGAGAAAGAGAATTTGAGGAATGTGGCCGCTATCCACGGTTGTGGCTGTGGTACAGAGCCACGGCGACATCGCTTTGAAGCGTCCGGAGCGACGGATCGGTGATCTCGGTCTAGATTGGCGCATCAAAGAGGGCGCATCAATAGTAGAGCGCCAAAAACCACCTCTCACGTCTCTCGCTGCTGTCACTGGCGGGAGCTTCTTTCACTTCGGCCATTACCATATCCTAGTACTTTAGGCTACTCTGGTCGCATCTTCTCTCTCAGGTGCTCTTGGGTGACTCGATAGTGACCGCGGCAGATGCGTTCTTCGGCAAGAACTGCGGGCCTCGAGCACCAGGTGTGCTCACCTTGCCCTTCCATAGCCAAATAAATGACTGAACCACCAACAGCTGTACTGCACCACCCTATGTGACTTCGACGGTCTTAAGTTTTGGTTCGTGTTCATTCTCATAAATGGCACGCGTCAATAACGTCGTACTGCGCAACCAAGATCGGCTCGACAACGCACTGAAGCTGGAGGGCGTTGAGGCGTATCGGTGCGTGGGTGTGCTCTCGGACGTGAAATAGCAGCTTACAACTCAGCTACGCGACAGCTGCCCGAGCAGGCCTTTATTGTACCACCACTCTTTCATTTTGGACCGCATGGGCCTGTTCTTTGTGTCTTGCGCCGTCCGTTTCCCCTCATGAGATGGCGCCATGGCCACGCTGAAGTCACCAACACCAACGCTCAAAAGAGATTCAAAGTCTTGAACACAATCTCGCTGCGCCAAGACCGGCATAGAGCACACAGCAGTAGAGACTTCTCCAACCGAACCGCATGCACCTCATGGCCCTCCTCCACCACTTCACGCTGGCTCCCTACAACGGCGCTCTGACAGGGAACCAGGGCTCCGCCTGCTACACCCCTTCGCCATCACACATGTGTGTTGGACCAGCGAGTACCTGCGCCGCAATCGTTATTGGCACAGGCGCCGCTATTTGCACGGCTGTCTTATTCAGAGAGCGCAACCTCCTGCGGTAGAAATGGCAGAGGAGGTAGTTTCTCGGCCTGCCATTTACTTGGCGCGACTCGCATTGAGTTGGGACGGGGCCAGCCATCTGCAGCCGCCAAGCAGCCTGGCAATCTCTCCATGTTCGCTCGCGCATAGCGGAAAGTTGCATGGTTGCGCAGAGGATGTTGGTATGGTACATTGCACAATTGAAATGCTGTCCTAATCGGAACACGCACATCTAATGAGTCGTTGAGCGTGACTGTATAAGAGGAGATCACATTGCATGCGCAATGTATGAAGACCGAATGGCAATACACTGAAAGCAGCTCAACGTGATAACAGATATTATCTGACTAGAAGCCTAGATGAACCCATGACCGACCAGGAGGGCTGATCACGAGAGTGCGCTATCTATCAACGAATAGAGTAATATCGGACTCATATCGGCACGAAGTATTCTGAGCCACACTGGTGTGCGAAGTTTACGCTGTTGCCAATAAGTATGCAGCGATAGAGATAAGCGCTTGTACTTGCCACTCACTATTTCCCCACCTCACGAACCCCACCCGTGCAAGACATTCTAACCCGAGTGGATAGAAACGTGTAAGTTGTATAATATCCAAATGAAATGTGCTAATGTATTTGACAACAAATAGGGACTACAAATCAAGATTGGTCTTGAATGTCAAAGCAGGCATCAAGCTCGAAGGCGGCTGCTGGAGCGGCCGCCAGTTCCTCCACCAAGCTGAAAGGCAAGGGCAAGAAAGGGGAGAAAGTGCCGGAGGTATGTGCTGTGGATTCATATGGGGAGTTGCGTGCTGATTGACAAATGCGGCTGTGGCAACGTGCCTTGTTGCGGAGCAGTTAACTCAGGTTGAGCTCGAGAAGATCGAACAGAAAATCTCAGAGAAGGTTCCAAATCCCCGCGAATATCTCGAAGTCGAAAAGCGGACGGCGATTGCAAAGAAAAAGGCGTTCGTTGGATATACGTACATCGACTTCACACACGAGGAGCAGCCCGAAATTCAATTTAGAACGTGGAACGTCCGAAGATACGACTCGGGGAAAGCTGCGACGTTGGGTAACTACATGATTGCAAACGGAGTGAAGCGAATTGATGAGGAGAGCATACTGATGATTCCGTTGAGAATAGGAGAAGAGATCTCTGAGGAGAACGCAGCGGAGCTTCGAACGTGGTGCGACCTCGGCATGTTCGTGGAGAAAGGCTTTGACACACCTGGCTGGAAGTCGTTGTACGAATTCCTCGAGAAGATCCCATTCCTACGACCTGTTGGTGGTCAGCACCGTTGCGGCGCCATCCTTTTTGTAATACTGAAGAACAAGAAGGATGAGGAGTCGTCGTTGCAGCAGCTTTACGTAATGACGAAAGACCTAGACAAGCTCAAGGCGAATCTCGCCAGGGATGCGTCAAAGAACGACACGATAATGGAAGACGATGTTCTACGGCGGCAAATTGCTTCGCTCGAGGAAGACATCACTGCCCTGCAAGTCAAGATCGCTGGCCTGAAGGCTGAGGCGAAGCTGAAGGGAAAGTGGGCTGTCGCAATTTACGACGAGAGTGAGCAAGTTTCAATCGAGCTCTCGTGCTTAACGTAGAGGCGTTGACCATGTTTGATCAACACAGACGAGCTCGAGCTCGAACACCTTCATACCATGGCGCGTAATCAGCACGACCCGATATACCGCGAGACCCTCGAGGAGTGGTTGATGGCGCAGGGCACGAAACTCGCATTATTCCACTGGGGACTGATCTATACGACAAGAACGAACACACGCGACATCGTGTTGGAAGCACGTGAAAAGTTTCTCAAGAAGCTCCAGGCGGAGAAGACTTCGAAGATGCGCATGCGGCCGGAGGAGAGTGAGAGCGTTAATGCAGAGCAGAGGGCGCAAGCAGACGTCGAGGGGGTGGATATGCTGATAAAGCCTGCGACTATCCAGGACGCGAACGCGAAGAAGGCAGCGGCAAACAAGAGGGCGAGAGCGACACGATCGGCAGCGGACGAGGCAGCGAAAGCGACCGGGACAGGAGCGCGAAAGTCGGGGACGGTCATGGCCCTCCTGCGGTCGCCGCACTCGCTGAACGCAATCATTCGCCTCGTGACGATAAAGCGACATGTGACCGAGTCGCCGCTGTGGAGGGTGAATAATTTAGTGAAACATCTACTGGGGACGTATGGGGGGGTGAGTCACACTCCTGTCGTATTGTACTTGAGAATGCTGATCTGCGGGTGGGTCATGTGCTAGATTTTCAGCGAGATAATGGACACGCTCTGGGAACGGTTTGAGGGACTTTGCCGGCTAACGAAGGACTTTCCATCGGACGAGGAAATACATAACGACTTGGTTCTCGTGAAGAACGCAAAGCTTTCAACAGCTCGTGAGAAGGAAAAGATGCGTAAGACTAAGAAGAGGCTGTGGGCTGCGGCTGTTGGCAACACGCAGCTCGAGCCTGCATGGTCATTTCTGGACGCGATGCTGGATCCAATCGACGATGTCTACAAGCAGACGATTGGAACGGGGACTTCGGAGCTATCAGGCGCCGAGCTCCTGTTATCGGCGATTCCTGTGCGAGCCGATGTTGACATGGCGGACCTCAACAACAAGATTGATCAATACAAGCTCGTTGTCGTCATGAAAGTCCGTCAGCTAGCGGCAGAGAAGGTCAACGACGAGACCATCTCGTTGTTTGAGAAGTCGCTTTGGCAGCAAGCGGCATCAAAAGTCTCGATTTTCATGGAGATTACTGGCCAGCCCGAATCGTACATTGGATGGATGCCGTTCCCGACGCGATCGGCCTTACACGGGATTTGCACGCGCCTCTCTTGCCAGAGCGACGCAATTACTGAGGTGAGTGCGGTTACTGTCATGAACATAGAACAGAATTAGATGCCGTGCGTATCGCCTTTATGACCCGATTGCGCACCTCAGCGGAATCGGGCATGCATGCATGTGTTGTGCAACAAATTTCCGATTGCATGCTGTAGCGCAATCGGTATTTGAATTCCATGTGTCATGACAAGTATATTCTGTCGTGCTTTGCAGCGCGATTTGAACATCCGCTGCAGTGGAATCAGCCCCATGTGTTGACATGCCGTATTCCGTCTGTAACCGATTGCGCGTTGCAGCACGATCGGGTGCACCGTGTGCATCACTATTGTGTATAGCGATTTCATGCCACGAGTGCAATCGAATACACCTGATATTTTCACAAAGCAACATCATTGCCCGATTGTGCGCCGTAGCACAATCGGGGGTGCATTTTATTTTTGCCACCAAAATCCGATTGTATACTGCAGATACTGCGCATTCACGTGCATAGGAATTGCTGGTGTGTCGCTTCATATGGTTGAGATACCGTTTCATTGTGTACACTGCATTTTTTTAAATCACCCGATTGCGCATTGACACGCAATCGGTATATAATGCCATATAGTGCTACCAGCTGACATATTATCCCACCTCGTAGATCTGCACTTGGTTTGACCGCACCATCCCATACACCCTCTACAAGATGTCGAACAGCGAACACTACTCGCGCGACTACTCCGATGCCGCTGGCCGCACATTCGAAAATCCCAACAGCACCATTCTCCACGACTCCATACCAGCGGCACGTCGCCAAGCAAGTCCCATTTCTATTCAAATCGTTCCTGCCATTTACTAAGTATTGCTTTTAGCTGATGTGGACTATATACAACCAATCACCAATAAATGGCTATCAATTTCAGCTCTGGCTCCGCTCAAGCACCACTGGTACCCTTCGACACCCTCCTCGCCTTCTCAACAAAGGTGATCATGTGAACTGGTTCCGGGACCGTTGTTATAACAGCCACGAGACCGATGTCCTCGAGGGCATCCAGGCGTACTACGAGCGCTCTGAGAAAAAGGATTCACAACACGACTTTGTCCAAAAAAAAGTCACCGAGCTTTTTGAGACCGGCACGAAGTCTACAGCCAAGAAAGTGGATGGTGGTGATGCTGCTGTTCAGGATGGAAAGAAAGCCGGCAACAAGGACAAGATGCAGAAGAAGGAGAAAGGCAAGGACAAAGCACCAGCAAAGGACAAGGCCAAGAAGAAGTCCAAGCAGAAGGCCACTGAGGATGCTGATCACGCTGAGGATAGCAGTGATGGCAATGGCGACGACGACGATGATGACGACGACGACGATGAGAGCAATCAACGGAGGAAGACCAGCTCCCAGTCGCTGGGCAAGGGCTCTCGCACTCTCAAGCAAAACCAAATCACTGACATCGCTGCCTACAAAATCTGGCTCGATGGCATGTCTGCCAACACTGCCGCCGTCCAATGCTCCTCTACCGTCGATGTCCTCGCCCCTATGATAGCCAAGTGGACAGGCCTATCCAACGCTCTTTGGACGTCCAATTGTGTTGCGGGCCCCCTCACCTCACTTCCTGGCAGGCTGCTCGTTCGTTCACACTACAACTTTCCCGGCGTTCGAACCAAAGGCGTCAGACCCCTCATCAAGCCCATAGTTGTCTCCATGGCCTTTGAAGAGGCTTACATCAAGCATTATCTTCGTGCTATGTTCGAGCAATGCTACTATGCCTACGCTTATCGGAAGGCATTGGAGAAGGCCCTCGCCAGTCATGTCAACCGCAATCTCACCACTTCTCACAGCGCAGCCATCCTCTCTCTTCAAAACTCTTGGACTTGGCCTGACGATGTCTCCACCAGTTCGATCATCCCTGCACCGTCAGCTCCGCAATCCATCGTGCTCATTGACGATATCAAGTACGACCTGGAACGTCAGATGTATATCAGTATTGAGCAGAAGAAGATTCACACCGCCATAACCCAGCTCCTCAGCAGCCCTGCCGCAAAGGGTTGGAATCATGAGACACTCAGTATCTCTCAACACTCCGTTGCATCATCAGTTTTTGGACCTGCCGACCTCTTATATCGGGTAAGTACTTGATTCAAAATATGCCTTGTGCTTGATATTGTGGCCGTGTTGTATCTGCACTGCACTGACACATGTTACTTTACATAGGCTATGATGCTGAACGTCGGTAGAAACTTCCAACGCATCAAAGCTGCAGAAGACGATTCCGATGACTCAGAAGCCGACGAAGAGAACAGCGAAGACTCTGTTTGGCATTGGAAGAATGATCCCGACCTCGTCAAACAGCATTCCTTCACTGTACCATCTGGCCTTCGCCTTCTTAAAGACAGATTCACATCGGGTGAGCTTCCTGTAGAAGCGATCACCGGTGTCACTCCTGCTACAAACGAAAAGCAGCGAGGCAGCAGCATCGAGAACCAGCAGGATGAGCAAGGTGAGCAAGATGAGAAGGATCATCAGGACCAGCAGGACTCACAGGACCCACAAGGCGAGGACGACACTTCCAGTTCAGACAAGGACTCGATGGCTGTCGACCGTGATGCGTCTGGCATGTCCGCCATTTCCAAGGCCAAAAAGATATCATCATCATCAGCACGGCAAGCACCAGCGACTCAGAAGGCAAAGGCAAAGGAGCAGCCGAAGCCTGGCGTTCAGGACGATGTCGAGATGACGGACTCGATTGATTCAGCCAGCACAACATCGACCATAACGAAGAAGGTCGTGGTGGCAACCAATGTGGCCGAGAACGACAGCTCCTCTGTGCATGCTGACGACAGTATTGGCACTACCCCATCCCTCTTGCCTCCACCAGAGATCGAGGCCACAGGTGGTAAGGCTCCGAAGCCTCGACTGAAGCCTCGACCCACTTACAGAGGTGCTCCGTCTACTCCTGTTCGTGCCAAAGGGTCCAAGCGAAAGCAGCCTGAATATCGAACTCCTCCAGGGAAGAACCAAACATCGACGGAGAGTGGATGTGATGGTCAGGAGCTGGGTGAGAGCTCACCTGGTTCAGGAACATCGCCGATGCATAAGAAGCCGCGCCCTGATGGTGACAGCTCGGACACCTATCCACCTAATGACACTATAATGCAGGTCGATAAGCCTTGCGACTCTGCCTCTCGTGCTACTCCTGCGACCCTGCCACGGCCTAAACCTTTGTCTACTCCATCTGAACTTGAGGGGGACCAAGGAGATGCTGATAGAGAAGGCGGTAGCAGCAGCGAAAGCAAGGAAGGCAGCTCAGGCAAGGAAGACAGGGAGAACGAGGACGGGGAGAACGGGGACGGAGAGAACGAGGACGGGGAGAACGAGGACGGGGAGAACGAGGACGGGGAGAACGAGGACGGGGAGAACGAGGACGAGGAGAACGAGGACGGGGAGAACGAGGACGTGGAAGATGAAGAGAACAAGCACGAGGGCAGGGACGCGAGCACAAACACCGGCAATAGCGGAAAGGCCAGCGCAACACAAAGGCCCTCATCTCTCCCGATGTCACAGCAGGCTTTGCCAACTTCTTCACCGCAAGTTTTGTCGTCAACCCAGGGTGAGGATGTTGAAATGACTCAACCTCGTCCGTTTACGCAGCAAGACCCATGGCATACAGAAATTCCACTAACTGGTGAGTACCTACCAAGCTGTTCTTCATCATATTAAGTGTAGCGATGCTCTATCATGGCCTGTCGTCTCACCTAATCGCTTTTACTGCAAAATCACTGACGTTATGCTCTCTTTTCTTATTTTTCAGCTGCACAGATAGCCATGTTACCTACTGCTTTTGTACTGCCCTCAAGCTCCCCTTCCTCCCCGCTACCACGCCGTTCTTCTGTCTCACAATCCACACCACCGCATGACAGCTTTGACGATGTCGAACTTGCTGAAATGGAGCTGGACCCCTCTGCTGGCACCAATGAGGCTCACACGCCAGCTGCTGAGAAGAACCCTGCATCTGCTTCGTTATCTACTCGTGCACACTTTACTCGCTCCCACCGTGCACAGCGCGACAACATTGACAGCGAAGAACTTCCACAAACAGCCCCTCGCTTGCCCACCACAACCAAGCAGAGGCCACCTCAAACTTCTGCTTCTCAATCCGGTCTGAAGGCCGGCTTTATACGAACCAGTGACATTGCTTAGTAGTTTGATGTGCATAATATCCTCCAGCTGTAAAATAGTCACAAGATATCCATTGCTTGTTTGCTGTTCATTGATGTAACTGTAGTTGAAGAAGGCATGCTGTGGCCAAGATGGTGGCCGTCGCACATGGTGCCTCATGGCTGAAGCCGAAGGCCCGATGGCCCTGCATCTGTCCAGCCAGACATCGCGACCACCACGACCGTCGCGACCACCGCCTGCCGCCTCAACTTCGCCCCGCCTGAACGAATGCAGGAGGTCGGCGGTCCCATGCCCAAGCTTTCCGTTCCCTCCGCTATGTCGATAGTGGCTCTCCAAGCGCAGGACGTCAGCCAACACCAGCCGGGCCTTGTTTGGCGTCGCTTGCGCCGTAAAGTCGAAGTTCAAGGTGCGATAAATGCGTGCCCTGCTCTCCAGCCGCCTTCACCTGTGCTGTCCTCGCCCTCTATGCACGTTGGACCTAGTGATGTGCGGGCCCGGCTTGGGCTCAAAGCCCGGGCTTGGGCTTGTGGCGACGTCGAGCCGAGCCCTGAGCCCGAGCCGAGCCTGAGCCCGGCCCAAGCCGTGGACTTAAGCCCAGGCTTGCCGAGCTTAGGAAAAGTATTTGTATGCTACGAGAGTGAGCTTATTTATATTTAATAGGATACTATTGCATGTATCCACTGTACTGCAGCCTCCAGAGGGCATGTGATCGCGCTACAAGCCATGTTATGGCAAGGTTCGCGAAGGTGCGCCTATGGCGAACGCCAGGCGGCGGCGCACAATCGCGCCCAGTCACACACTAGCAGGGACTGACCAGTCTGGTAAGTCAACGTTTGTCTCATATGTGTATATAAAGTTGTTCTTACCATGTTTTAAGCCCAGGGAACAGCAATACATTTGGTGCACCCAAGCCTGGGCTTTCGGGCCGGGCTCAGGCTTGACTTTACCTCAAGCCCGGCCTTGAGCTCGCTGCCAGGCCCGGCTTGGGTCAGGCTTTTTTGGGCTGGGCTTGACGGACTTGCGGGCTTTGAGCCGAGCCCGCACATCACTAGTTGGACCCGTGCTAACACGCCCACAGACCTTCGTGTCTCGCCGCTTGCGCACCGAGAATACTGGCTCAACCTCGCCATTGCATACAACGGCGTTCATACTCGATGTCTACTAACTCCAATCACATCTCGCATGTCGTGCATGCTGACCAGCACAGCACATGGCATTCCCATGCGCTACGCTTGCCAACATCTACGGCTTGAGACGGCCCACCTTCCGCGTCCTCGAACGCAGCCCTGTACGAAATCAGGCGTTGTGCCATCTGCTAGCATGCAGAACACCTTGGCAGCACTCACCACGCACCCAATGTTGTACCAGGGCGGTCTCGGCCCGCAGATCAAGCCAGGCTCGTGATATTCGCATTTGCCGCGGTGTGAGTATGCTTGTAGACTTGTCGTGTATCCATCTGTATGTTGCTCGGTCCCTAGCAAAGCCTCTTACATGGCACGTTCCAGTCTTCAAGGCCAGAAACATGTACGCATGTATTAATTGTCCTCATTTACATGCTTCTGGGTGTACTCTGTTCGGCGCGCACGCCGCTCTAGGTCCCGCGCTGCTCACTCTCCGTTGTCGCCCGGTTAGTCTTTCGTGGCGCTTGGCCTGCTGCGCCTCCACCACCACCTTCCTTGTCGACCACGTCCTGTCCCTCTCTGACCGTCTTGGTGTACTTCACCATGGCAAGATCGACCCCACCTTTGCGCCTCTGGCCCTCACATTCGTCATCGACGGCGTCCTCGCTGGTCTTCTCCAGCGGCTTCGCGCCGTTGGTATGCGCTCTCGTTTTTGCTAGTCGCCTGCGCCGCATTGGCCGTGGCTGTAACAGTCCGCGGCTGCCAGGCTGCGTTGCCCCACAGTTTGGTGTCTATCCTGACGAAGGCAAGCCGCTTGCGGGCTCGACAGTACTTCGAGTGGCTGTCTATGCCACTTGCTGCTCTCGACGTGCTGCCGGCGGGCTCCCCATGTCCATCTCGACGCGTTGTAGACGCGATTTCGGCGGTTCCTTCACTGCTCCAGCCACTGTTGCTTTCAGGCGTGCTGAAAGTAGCAAGTCCACAGGCTAATAGCCGGGTGGAGCCGCTCGGTGGTCTGACCCGCCTGGTTGCCGTTGTTAATAGCAGCGGTGGCGCGAGCGCGAGCAACCGGGCATTTTTGGCCAGTTTCGATACACACGAATTGACCTACAAAAGGCTAGGTCAGCGCAGCAAAGATAGGACGCGACGAACCTCGGATATCGCAGCGCCAGGTCCGCGCGGATGTGACCCGACGCGTCCGCCCTGGCGCTTACGTTCACGGCGGCTTCCGCGACTCGATTGGGCCTGCCCCGCCTCCTGCCAGCTCACCCGCTTTCTGCTTCCTCCCAACCACCCGTTTCCAGCCCCGGGGGTGCTCGATGTCAAAGACGGTCGAGAAAATGGACAAAAAGTAAGTATAGTTTGTTTTTTTGTCGTTTTACATGCGCACATAGAGCCCTGTATGGCTGCCTACTGGCCAGACACCACCACCACCTCTTCCCGGCTGCCTCTCGACGCGCTGCATGAAGACGAAAGGCCGACGCTCGCGCTCGCTGGCCAGCCCGTACGCCCCACTGGGTCATCGCCGGCTCTACGGGTGCGGAAGGCTAGCCGGCATCTGCCGAGCGCCGTTGCCCGCCGTCGCGCGTCGGCCGTGCCCCATGGACAAAGGCCAAGACGCGCCGCTCGTGCATGCTGGCTAGCCAGTACGCTTCGTTGGGTCATCACCGGCCCTACAAACGCGGAAGGCTATCCGGCGCTTGCCCAGTGCTGTCGTCTGCCGTCGCGCGCTGGTCGTGCTCCATGGACAAAGCCCCACACGAGCCGCTCGCGACTGTGCGCACGCAGCAGCCTTTGCTCAATATCTGCAGTGGCTACGTGGGTGCGGCACCCGTGCTGACAGGCGTTGGGCGTTGTTCGTCGGTGCCCGCGCACCACACATCAAGCTGAGCCCTCAGCGTTCCAGCAAGTTAGCGGATGCGCTGCGTTCCCCGACAGGTCCTGTGGTTGACGATTCAGACTCAGATTGTACATGTATATTCCACCGGTGCATATAGTGGTAAATTGTATTGGTAGAGCTGTCACTCATACGTCTAACAACGAGTGCGTGAATGCGGAGCTCGGGGGGGGTACATGCCCAAGACTCCTGAGTATGATAGTAAATTATTCAATTAGCGGGCTATACAGTGATATTGGAAGGTAATACATGGAACGAACCCCGCCCGCCACCGGTCAAAGATCTCTGGAAGGTTGCTTGGCATCGCCTCGATACCTGTAAGATTATCGATAGAATGGCATTTCGTTCGTGCAGGAGCATACACTTAGCGCAAGCCAGAGCATAGAGAATAAGCCGCGAGCAAGGTGTGGAGATGGATAAGGCACACACCCACGGATTCTAACTTGAATGTCCGTGACGGGCCCGACAAACCAGAGTGGAGGGCAGACTACGCATGCCGCACAGACTCGCGACCTCTTTGTCCGTCTACGTGGCTCTGCGTCGGCCCTACATAGCTGATCAGCTTCTCAAATATGTGTTTGGACGTTCACGAGCTTGACCTACGTCGGCACACAAAAGTGCATTTCGGCACGAGTGAAGTTGTGCTTCGTTGTTGGTTACGGGGCGTAAGAGACGCAGGCTTGTGACGTTCTCAATGCCAGATTGGTAGCCAAGCGGCGAAATGCTTGCGCAAGGGCAGCGCCACAATTTTCAGACGCACATGGTCCATCTGGCTACTTTGCGGCTGGAAAAGTAGTCGCATGAGGGATGCGAAGGCAATCACGGGGTAGATCAGGTGGGAGGTGGTCGAGATCGTCGAGTGAAGCGGGACTCACGGTGGGGCTTTGGCCGTCTGGAAGCACCAGTACCAACAGCGACGGATATGGCCAATACGGTCAGCTTCGTGAAGAGCCTGCTAGCCTGCAAGCGTGAGCTCCCAGCTAGAATATTCACGTTCGTTAGTAACAGCGCGATACGTGAGGACAAGAGGGCGTACATCCACACGTGCTGACTTGCAAGTCCGTCGCACGCCCAATCAGCTAGCGTGGGACCCAGATGGCATAGGCGTCGCTAACTGAAGACCCATTTCTCTCCTCAAATCGCACTCCGAATCATCCCCGCATAGCTGACCAACTCCAAGATACGTGTCTGGACGACCTCGCGCTTGACCTACGTCAGCGCGCGAAAATGCAGTTTGGCGCGAGTGAAGTCGCATTTCGCGGTGGTCGGGTACGGGGCGTAGATGGTGTGAGACGGCAATTGATTCGATGCCAGGTCGATAGCCGTACAAGCGCGAGGACGCCGGGCGTGATATGCGGTGTGGACTGGTTCAAGTGCCACGAGTTGTGTGACCTGTGCGAGCGAAGATGAGCTGCCGCTACACAAACTTTGTTGGGCACCAAGATGCACCTGTAGACACGCTCCATGTTCGGTCAGATGCATAGTCCTTCCGCTAGGGCTTTTAGGGCTACGTGCCTGATCTCGGTCGACGTTGTCAAGGCTAGCTGGACTTTGGTGTAGTATGGCGCGGCAGAGCCTAGGCAGCATATAGATCTGTTTGTCAGCATGCGGGGATGTAATAGAGAAGATCGCAGCTTACGTTGCATATATGCAGCTGAATCGGTGCCCGAGCCGACGAATCAGTCGTTACTGCAGTCGCCGACAGCCTCCGAGACAACGGTGTGGACTACGTTGAGTGAGATGGATACCTGAGGCACTCCGAGTGACACAGTCCAGGTTTAAGATAAGCAGTCGTTAAGTAACTCAAGGTTAGCGCGCCACGATGGTTGGCGTCCAGCCAGGAGAAGGGAACATCATCGGATCTCTAACTCTGCCAAAGAGCAAGTAAATTGAGCGTAAGCTAAGCGCTGATTATTGCAGCACGCGATTAGTATTGCATAGGCCGTCTGGGAGTTGTCTTAGAGCCAGAGGTGCGCCGTCTATGGTGAAAACGCGTGCAAAGCGAGACGTGCCGCTGTAGAAATACAGGTACGGAACGTTTCGTGCGAGAAGCAAGAAGGAGACCGAGTCGTGGAGCACAGTGGGGAAATGGCGCTGCTCGTGCTTCGGTCGTGGACTTCCCAAACGCGTGCTTGGCATAGGTCACGTGGCAGCTTGTGTAAGCGCCTTGCGTCGAGCTTGTAGCTCCGCGTGTGCCTCCTGCTTGCCCTGACACAAATTTCCTTCCTCTTCGAATCTACACTTACTTCCCCTCACACCTCGGACTCGCCGATGGTGCGCACATACCCACTTCACGCTGGGAGCACAAGACCAACCGTTTACTCCCTCCCCAGGTAGTGGCCGCTTTCGCATGCCGCCAAGGACTCTAGATGAGGGAGATTCAGGCAAAGGATGGGCAGTTCGCTTTTGTGTCACTGACGGACGGTCATGTTGGATGCCTGGTGCGCGTACTCAATGTCGTGTTGCTCGATCTGGCTTGTATTGAACGGTACACCAGGCACAGTCGCAATACCGTACCTCCCATGTCACTAGACACTCTGTACTTCGTCTTCGAGCCATTTCTATCTCAACTTCAAGTGGCACATCCCCCTCCTAGCCATGAACGTGTGTCGTGTGTGAACGTCTGAGTTAGAGACATGGCCCAATTGCAAGGCTTCGAATTTGCGTTAACCCAAGGAGAGCGCTTTATAACACTCACGGTCGAGAAAAGTGCGACGTTTTGAGAGATCTGGATAACATTCAGGTGCGTCTTCTCGCCTTCTCAGCCGCAGGCATCACTTGGCTCAGTTGCTGGACTTTAAGCACGCTCCCTATCTCCGTTTTGTCCAAGAGGCTCCCTCGAAAATATTGATATATAAGGCTATATCCCATGTCGTAGCCTGCGCAGTGAGCATGCGCAGCAGAAATTGCCGCTTGCGGAGCCACGCCACCCTTCGCGCCTCAGGCCTCCGCGTAATTGACCAACAGGCTCATCAACACTCCCTTCTTCACGGGCCTCCTCGTCGGGCTTGCAGCCGCGCTGTTCGACAATTGACCAACAGGCTCATCAACACTCCCTTCTTCACGGGCCTCCTCGTCGGGCTTGCAGCCCCGCTGTTCGACGTTCCCCTCAAGCAGAGACTCCGCCGGGTACATGCAGTGGAACTCGTCGCTGCCGGTGTCGCACGAGAGTGTGCTGGCGCGCCAGAGGTGTCTCGGGTCACGAAAGACGTGGAACGTGGAGGCGATATTCGTGGCAACACTCGGCCGATTAATATTGCAGCAATCTTCCTCTTCGCGCGCATAGCTTTTCTCCTGCGCACCTCGACGTTGCCACGGCCGTGGTCACCAGTCTCGCCTCGGCATTTCTGCCAGTCGTCTCTGCCTTTGCTTCCCCATCCGTTATCCCCCATTGCTATCCTACCGCGTGAGCTTGTCCCGTGGGCTGCTCTCCGACGAGCACGCCTTCACGCTGTCTGTTGACTCCCCCGACATGATGTTGCAACCGCACCGCTGTAGGCCTTCGGCGCCCCCGACCGCAAGGTATTTGAAGCTGTAAACGCGACCTCGCAGTAGCAGGACTAGCGCAACGTCCACATCCACGGTCGTAGAATTCGCAATGACGAGGAACGTGCGCACCGACACTGGTCGCAGAACGGTAGCTTTTCTCGAGGTGAGTCACGCGCGCTCTACCATCCTCCTCCAACGTGTTCAAGCAGGGGCTTCCGTTAGGTCAAGCTGGCATTCTGCAGCGGCGCGCTGATGGGCCCCAGGACCCCTTTCGCTATAGTCTCCGTCGCCGTGGCACAGGCGCGTGCTGGACCGAGCGGGTATCTGCGGTGCAGTCATTCTCGAGACGGAGTAAAGACGAGGACGAGATGAATGCCTTTATCCTCTGCGCCGTCCGTTGGCTTTCGCAATGCGATATTGCTATCGCGCCTCTGGAGATCATCGACATCATTGTCGACAGTATACCCGGGGTCTCTGACGCGGTAGAGCGGCGCAACATTCACGGTTCCGGCGACTGAGTGAGCGCAGTATCTGTGGCTACAATAACTTCTTCCGGTTGACCCACACACTCTCCGCGATCCTCCTCTCCCAGCGCGAGTAGACGATCTGCAACAGTGCCCAGACAGGGAACCGGGACCTCTTTTGCTGCACCTTTCATGTCAGCCCTACCCTCGCGTATACGCAACTCGGGCCGGACGAGTGGACGCTCCAGAAGGCCAAAGATCCCGGCCTTTATGTTCGGCCATTGAAGCACAGGGCAGCGCGTCGCCCGAGGACTGTGGCGTGGGTGAGGGTTCGTGACCGGATGGACTAGAGCTCGACAAAGCCAGAGGCAAGGCGGGTGACTGGGACGGCGTAGTCCTTCGGTATAGAAATGTGGTAGACTATGTGTATTTGGCTGCTACATAACAGAATCAAAATCGATATTGAGAGCGGACCTAACGTCTATGACTCACGAGTGAGACAATGAGTGGTGCAAAAATGGAATTATATCCGTCGGTTCTTCAGACGTCCAGTTATGATGGCAGGCTGTTTGAACATGCATTTCGAGCCCCGCGATGCTTCATATTGGGGCAGCGATGGGGTGGCATAAAAAGATAGATGGGTTCCGCATGTGCGTATGCGGGTGCCAGCGATATCTTCAGATCTCAGATCTCAGACCTTGCAGATTGGGCCGGACGCCACCAGGCTCACACCACTGTCCTGATACGGCAATTGTTGTTCGATGAAACGACGACAAGTGGCTTGTAGCCCATAATGTATACTTCTCCGTTCACGCCTACATTTGAGTTACGGTGTGACCAAAATTCTTTACTTCGTTTCGCCTCCGTAAGCTCAATGTATAGCATGTCGCCTCGCCCCGAAAGCAGCCCCTTAGATACCACCCTGCTTTTCTTCCGCGTCTGCACGATGCCAGCCGGCGCGAAAGCAGCCTAAGCGTGGATGTCCGTCGCTGCGAGATGGCCTAATACGGGACACAGAGCAGTGGGCTGGATGGTGTGAAAATTGACTTGTAAGCATGGTAAAGAATAGGCATAAGAGGGTGACGGACGGGTGCCATTCCGACGAACTTGGCCGCTGTATGGAATGCTGCACGCTGTGTAGTCAGATGCACAAGGTCTATCTGGCTATTCTTCGGCTAGAGGAGTGGTTGCGCGAGCGATATGAAGGCAGTCCTAGGGGAGATGAGATGGGGAACGGTCAGGATCGTCGAGTGAGGCGGGACTTACGGCGGGGCGTTGGCCGTCTGGAAGCGCCGACATCCGCAGCGATGGAAATAACCAGTACGGCCAGCTTTATGAGGAGCTCGTCGGCTTGCAGGCGTGAGCACACAGCTAGAATCTTCACACTTGTTAGTAATAGCGCGAAACCGATGGATATGCATGTGGTATGTGAGCTATACGTAAAGACGAGAGGGCGTACATCCACGTATGCCGACTTGCAAGTCCGTCGAACATCCAATGAGCCAGGGCGGGACGAAGACGGCGCACGCGGTCCCGACTGAAGACCTATTTTCCGCTCACATCGCACTCTGCATCGTCTCTGCATAGCTGACCAACTCTTTCGGGATATGTGTCTGGCCGACCTCGAACTTGACCCAAGTCAGCGCATGTGCCGTTCGGCCGTTGGCACGAACGAAGTTGTATTTCGTGGTCAATTACGGGACATGGAGGGCGTGGACTGGTGATAAACCCGATGCCAGGTTGGTAGCCATGCAGGGAGATGCCTGCACGAGGACGGCGAACATGACGTGTAGCGTAGATTAATTCAAGTACAGCGAGTTTCTGTGCGGCCTGCGCGAATGAAGATGGGCTGTCGCTACGGACATTTTGTTGGGCATCAAGACGCACCTATAGACATGCTTCCTGTTTAGTCAGGTGCACACCCCTTCTACTAAAGCTTTCAAGGCGACATACCTGATCTCGGCCGACGTCGCCAAGGCCGGCTAGACTCTGGTGGGGCAGGACGCGGAAAAATTTAGGTAGCATACGAATCTGCTCGTCAGCATGCGGGCACAGAATAGAGAAAACTGCAGTATACCTTGTGTCTATGCTACTGAATCGTGCCAGCGAGCCGACAAATAAGTCGCCGACCCAGTCACTGATAGCCTACAAGACAACGGCGTAGACTATATTGAGTGAGGTCGATATCTGAGGCATTCTAAATGGCGCAGTCCAGGTGTAAGGTGAGCATACGAGTGGCTAAGTGACCAAAGGTTTGCGCACCGTTGGCGTCCAGCTCGGAGAAGGGAACGTCCTCGAATATCCATCTCTGCCAAAGAGCGAGTAAATTGAGCATAAGCCGAGCATTCGTCGTCTTCATCACCCCGCTCTCCTACATCGTCTTGAAGCTCGTCTCGTTGCTGAGCGTTGCAACGCCTATGATGAGCTGCGCAATGGAAGACAACTTGAAGATATGCAGAGACTGATAGCGAGCGATAGCGGACTGCATAATTCACGAAAAGGTTGCAGGTACGGAAAGGAAGAGGATTTTTTCCAGTTGATGAGCTTGAAGTTCGAATTCGCTACGTGCCTGTGCTCTAGCCCGCGAGTGTCAGAGATATGATAAGAAGACAGAACGTGCCTTTGTAGAAGATCTCCTTCCTGGTATCTAATGTTGGTAAGATGCCTTGGTGTTGACATCTGGCGACGAACATCGAAGAGGCGTGCGTGCCCTAGGTAGCGGCGGCTTAATCAGTCAGGCTCGCAAAAGATCGTGTTGACTGCGCACCTTAATCAGATCCCAGGCCTATGCTACGTGTCCGAGTGCATACAGCGCACGCAGGAGACTGAACCGTCAATGACATGACCGACGGTGGCCCGCTCAGGTTGGGCCGGTTTGGAGGCATTCCAGGTTCCTGCGGGCACGGTTGTTACAGAGCAGCAGGCTTGGAAATGGCGATGTGGGATAGCTCACCAGCAGCGTAGTCAGCCGGAAAGGCCGGGAATGACGAGCAGGAGCAGGGAGGAGGACAAGAGTGAATTGGAAATTGCAAGTTGCTGCAGCATTTACTGTAGGCTGTACAAGTAGCTCCATTGTTGTGACATTCACGGTCGCGTCCTCTGTCAGCTACTCATGCATGCCACCCACACACCTTCACTTGCACCAGCTCTGCACTGAATTTGCCATTTTGCTTCTGCTATACGCACCACTCCGACGAGCTGTGTGCTGTCTCCGGTGTGCGCGCTGAGCTCTTTACCTCCCACCAGGCTCCCAGCTTCACAAGCGTGATGAGTAGAGAAAAGCTGGTCATGCCACTATCTTACCAGTCATGTAACATCCGAGTTCAAGACGATCAGAAGCAAAGCAGGAGCTATTCTCAAGACAGTCTGCAACGGACAAGGGCCCCATGGATGCGCTGCCTCTCCTCCCCTTCTTAGACTTCCCTAAACATGCTTTCAGATGAGCCCTGTCGAGTAAACGAGTAAGCGAGGAAGTCTCCAAGTTGAACGTAGGCCCTGCACACTGCCTCATGATTTGAGATACTGAACCACACCAGGTAATCTCGAATTCCGCTGGCACCACGTCTGCAAGCTCAAAAGACCATGAGCCCTGACCTCTACCCTCACAAGTTCGAGGCCTCGATACCGCTTCCGCATCATATTGAAAAGCATGGTCCTAAGGGCAGCTTCAAGCTCGGGGAGAAGAGCGCGAAGGCATCGTTGAATGCCTTGAGGGACTTATCTGCAACTTTCGTGTATCTCCACGGCGAGGACGAGAAGGTCCAAGTAATGGCATTCTAGCAGTGAGTATTTTTGCCTGCCCGGTAACTACACGCTCATGGAACTGTCGCTCCTTAGAGATGCCAATAACCCAGAGGGCTTCATCGCGCAACACGACCACTTCCACCATGCAACGTCAATGTCGTTGGAACTTACCAAGAATGTCGAGCTCTTGACCATGCATTTGGAGATAACTCTCCTTTCCCAAACCTCCGCCGGCTGCCGTTGGGCCACTTAGACCTGGAGAGCCAGAATACCTCGGTACCGCAAGCTCTACCCGGACCTCGTTTTCACGAGGATACGAGGCTCAGCTTCAAGCTTCAATGCCCGCCATCACATCGTCAACTATGTTCGTCGGTTCTTCGACAACCTCAGCTTCCCCGAGGTCGAGATGCCGATGATTTCCGGCAGAACGACTACGAAGCGGTTCACCACGATCTCGACCCTCGCTGTACCTGAAGCAGCTTATCGCTGGTGGTCAAGCTGAGTGTACGAGATCAATCGTGTGTTCCGTAGCAAAGGCGTCGACCTGACGCACGACCCCGAGCTCTCGATCTGCGAGTTCCAAATGGTGTATGCGGACTGCGACATCACTGGGAGCCTGGCCGAGGGTATTGCAACGAAGGATCTCACTGGTGGGAAGACGATGCCGAAATTCCATCCCGAGAGCAGAGGCAGCGAGAAGGCGTTTGAGCTGAGCTTCAGGCAGCCATGGGCGCGATCACGACAGTAGAGGGAGACGCTCGAAGAGATATTCCAGGCGGGGGAGACACTGCGCACCGAAGAGCTGAGCAAGTTCCTGCCGGGGGGGGGGGGAGCTGTGCTTGAAGGTGTGTTCTTTCGCCTGCCGATGTTATGACGAAAGCTCAATGGTACTTTACAGCACTTCGTGAGGTGCAGCGAGCCCCGGACGAATGTGCGTCTGCTGGGCTGGCTCGTTGGCGGGTTTAGCAATCCTCTCTGAATCTCCCCCGCCTTCATTGGTAAGCAGATCCGTGTAAATGTCCCTGGTGCGCTTCTGATAACCAGGCAGTCGGTAGCCTACAGATTGAGGCTCGGTCTTTGCGAGCATTTTGAAGGGTTCTTTTGAGCAAAGAGATTCTGCAATGATTGTACGAAGTTGAACTGGCCATTTGAGCAACGGCTGCGGTTCGAGGAGCAGGTCCGGCAGAAGGAGTGGGGCGAAGCAGTTTCTTCAGGCGCTTTCCGAATTTGTGCACTGAGGCACGACCTTCAACGCATTCAACTTGTCCCCAAACTTGTCAGATAGGCAGGTGTGGCTGCAATGCGAAGGAGATAGAACTGCGTGGGCAAGAGACTTTAAAGTGTCTACACCATGTCGAACGACGGCGACCGACAGTGGATCAGAGCCCTCATGGTTACGCTCCGCAAGATGCACGCCTTTGTACTCATTGCAACGAGCGGAAGCTCGCGCTTGGGACGAAGTCTGCTCCACAGAGAGCAGATGAGGTCATCGTTAACGGTGGTGTAGGTCTAATCTTGTATGTGCCTTGTACGTAGGCTCACATCATTGTATGGCTCCCCAGCACAACACCGAATACTCAGGCATTACGCATGACAGGGCAGCGGCAGGCCACCAGGCACCACGCGCTCATGATGGTGATAGCTCAGTTCAGATAGTTGCTGTCTTGCCTCATGTAGGATTTTTGACGTGCTTCCTCACGGTGCCGCCGCTATGAGCTGCCGATGATAATACCATGCGACTGGGGCTGTTATATCGATATTTCGTGGTCTCATGAGAAATAACTTGCGCGGATGCAATCAGTTTGAAAGATGTTGCTTCGTCACTTCATTCCCTGTCAGACTGTTCGAATTACAGAAATCACCTTAGCACGCCGACGAATCACTATGGGGCCCTCCTCCCAACACTTGAGCGCTTATTAGTGGACACGCTCAAGCCTCGAGCTATCTAAGACGCACGAAATCCGCACATGCATTATGAGCTATGTCAATCTTCTGTTCTCTAATACCATTTGCCTTAGTTCTACTAGTAAGTACACGGGCAATCCAAGAGCTGCAGAAAACATGACCACGAATCAACCGGCTGACCATGCGCCTTCTTCCACTTCCCAGTTCAAACGGTGCATTCTCCACCTAACTGCTGACGGCGACTGCAGATGCATTCGCTCCGGCTGACAGAGCGACGCCCGTCTCAGTCTTTACCCGCATCGCGTGGGCCGCCGTCGCGAGGAGCAGGAGCCCGTTCCACCACCGTGCCGCGACGACCGCGGCAAGAATCGACATCGACAGCCGATAGCTCGACATTGCGAGGTCCCCGACCATGCTCAGCACGCCTGGGCCGTCGGATAGTTCGCGAGTGGGCATGGGTGGTATTGGGTGCGCATAGGCAGTAGCTCTGGAGTGCCGTCGTCTCGTCTCACCACTAGCTTGATGCCGATAGCGATCAGAACCAACGGGGGAGCCTGGATGCTGCCGCCGAGATGTGCGAAGGGTACGGGTCAAAGGGCGAGAGGTAAGAGATGCGATAATGTCGCCGTCACGACCGGAGGCCCGAGCGGCGGGTGCATCATGGGCGCAACAAAACTCGCAGCCCTGTATTGAGTTCATATTGTTTGATGTCGGGAGAATATCTAGTACAGGTACTTGTCAGCGCTGATATCCAACAGCGGAGATATGGCTTACTTCGATAGGGCGGTGATGGCAGATACCGCCTCTACCGACTCAGTGTCCACTCGCACCACGCATAGCTCTCTGTCTCGCCGTCCGGCATCCAAGTGGCCAGCATGAAGTGCTCCGCCTCGTCTTACTGCGCGTGGGCCCCTTATCCAGCGAGTACAGCAGGCCCCGCAGCGCGTGTCAGAGGTGGGTCGCCAAGGTGGATAAGGTCAGCGCCGAGCTCAAGTACATAGCATCGAAAAATATCAGCAGCGGCGCCCCAGCGTCGCGGATCGCCTTCGCGCGTTTCTCGCGTGCCTCTTGACTGCCAACGTAAGCGCAAAAGACCTGGCGGAGGATGTGAGCCTCGAGACGTAGGCATTCGTTCGACTTGTTCGATGTCCTAGGTGCACCGAGCAAGACTTTGGATCTGGCCAGCCCGATGTGGCTCTTGCACACCTTCTCCGACGATTTCTTGGCGATATGTCTCGAAGGCTCAGAAACCTTGATCTGGAGCATGCAGAACCGCGAGCTTATCGCCGCCTGCGCAGGCAGATCAGCAATCCCCTTGTTCTGCGGCCGTGGCGGCGGCGGCTTCCTGTCTGGACTTCGGAGCGACGAGTGGCTTGCTGATAGACTGCTCTCGTAGCTGCTGCCACCGCCGCTGGTCTTTGGTAACGTCTCTTCTGAAGAGCCAAACGAGACAGTCCGAGGACAATGGCAATCTGCATTCTGGCCGCGCAGGTCACTCGACACAGAGGCAGACACCGCACCTGAGGAATGCGCGACCCGGAGCAATGAGTGGAATGGAAAACTGGGGAGTTTCCATTGGGTAGTCGGCAAGGCAAGAGTTTGGGCATGAGTGTGCGACGACGTGTTAAGTGGGTCCGCGACTATGAAGATTTGTGACCGACGAAGAGGTTAGGGATGGCTAAACTCACCATTAGACGCAATCATATGCACGACGAGCTGGCCGTCCTACTAGAGACCCTCCTGAGCAGTGCAACTGACACGGTCTCCAGGTGAGAGGACGTATCAGAGATATCTCCGCGAGTGGTAGGGAGCCGGCTTAGGAAGTCGACTTTTCCGCAGCAACGGTCGGCGTATTTACTTGCCATGAGCGATGCAAAATTGAGATATACAAAGAATAGCGCATCGTAGGACGTAAAGGCGTTGGCAGGGAGGAGGCGGAGGGGTATACAGCGGCAAATATGAAAGATGAGAAGGCGATATCGATTGGAGAGACGGACAGAGGCCTCACTTTGTTTTGGAGTGCCGAGGGCGAGGCACCGAGAGTGGAAGACAGCGATGAATGGACGAAAGGCGGACGTGATGTCGACTAGAGCTGCAGAAGGTCGATGAGAGTTCGGCGCGATCTAGGGGCTTGTCCTGAGTGTCCGATGAATCCAGCAGGGGACGGTGTCAAGAAGTACTATCGGGGGATGAGCAGCTTTGCGTATAAGCAAGTCCTAGGCCGTCGACCTCGATTACGTCCGCCCACGCTCATGCGGCTGTTCAGCGAGCTTGCGCCGGTCTTTGGCAGTGTATTTGATACAGGCTGGGGCCTGGCGCAGTTCGAGACCGCGAAAATGTACATGACGTCATAAATGTCACACTGTGTCACGAGCTCTGGACCGTCACGCCTGCGTGCTCTGCTCACATGACATAACCTCAACACGTTCATCAATGCGTTCGTCCACAGACCTCCCGTCATGCAGACAAGAGACAGCGAGTGTCAGTGCGACACAACCTTGGACGAACCTAGTCTCGATTCCACACATTCCGGCCCCGTTATCAACACTTCAAGCTATATAACAAACGGAGTTTTGACAAGTATTCATTCCCTCCCTTACTACGCCTACTTAACGATTACTTATTGACTGCACGCAGTGCGGTCTCTGCGAACACCTTCCAGAAGAGAGGGAACGAGACTAGGACGAACCGGCATCGTTCCACCATCGATGTCTGCCTTGATAGCCCTCGTCAGATGGAGTAAGACAAGCGGAGGAAAGGCCAGATGTTGAGTGACCTGCCGATGTCCAATGCGCCTGTATCCCTGACACACGCAGAATAGAGTCGCTCATTGAGCTATACGGCCTGTCTCCAGTTCAAGCAATCTTCGCAGCCATCACGGATGCGAGCTCAACTCCTGTTTCGTGGTGCGAGCGCGGCCTGACAGATTGATAGTCCAGCACGAGATTGCCCAAAGCATCAGTACAAACCGATGGACCTGGGACGCGGACGTGGAAGAGAAAGTGAAGAGCATCTGAGGGCTAAGCGGAGAGAGTACCTCAAAGGTTGCAGCCGTGCCATCAGACGAGTGTGAGCCGCAGTCAGCCAGAACAAACCTACTACTCGTGCGTCTTTATCTATGCGCTTTGGTCTCCCTGCTGACGGATAATCTGATGACAGGAAAGGACTTGACCACGAGCGGGTCGCACTTGTCGAGAACGAGCGACAGTGGATATGGAGGTGGGGATGCCGCTATAAGTGCGCTCCATTGCTCTACCCTGCTGCGGTGCTACAACCACCGACATGGCGATGTCGGAAACATCGACAGCCCCTACCCCAAGGTCGAGCAGCAGTCCATTAATTTCCTGTACACGTTGTGCACACCATCGCGCGCACGTGCACCGTGCAATCGCTAATGTGCAGCCAGGAATCAGGATACTCATCACTTATCCGGCACTCGCACATTTCCCGACCGCACAGCTCTTGGGCAGGCATCGGCTCGCACGCAGTCCCTCCAAGGAAAGCCACCCAATCAGCACCTCTTCTTACCGGCACCGCTGACTGTGCCATCCGTCACACACAGCCAATACGCGCGCCCCGACGGCGCTGCACGTTTGGCAGGGAGACTTCATCGAGTGCGGCTCAAAGGCTGTGCAGCCGAGGTACGGGCTTCAAATAACAGCTTCCTGTCGAGGTTCCTAGGTTTGTGGATGGAATTACAGGAAGGAACAGCCGGACGGCGGCCTGCCTCCGTCGATACTCTTAGACGCCTAAAGACGGTGAAGGTGGGGCAAGCCGCGACGGCGCAGAGCATGAACCACACCTTGGTGCGTCTCTCTCCCGGCCCCCTTTCCATGTGTCACTCATCGCGCGCTGCAGGCCATGGGTGGCGGCGTCATCGTCGTCTCGGGTCTGCGCTAGCTGCGCGGGAAAAGACCTCGGGAATGTCTGCGTCGGGTAGAACTGGGACCGACTGTGCCTTGCAGGCCATGCAGTGCGGGGAGCACGTCTAGGAGCGCATTGAGGCGAGAAGGGAAAAAGAACCTGAGGCTGCCTGGGTAGAAGTGCACGTCGCGGGCGCAAGGTATGTTCATGGTCCCTGGCAAGCGGACATAGATCCACGCTTGGTGAAGGCGTACGTCCCGTTCCCTCTATATCTGGCATATCGAGCTAATGCCTGCACACAGTTCTTGAGCACGGCATTAAACTTCGCGAGACTACCCATAACACGGCAGCAGTGACTCGACCCGGTGTGCTGATGGTAGCAAGGTCGACCGTTCGCCGAAAATATTCATCTCTATGATGCGCACCGTTGACAATAGCTATTACCTCAGGGTACGAAGAGCCGTTTGTACCACATTCTCCAGCTCAAATTAGCAAATGCAGTCATATTTCACGGTTGCGTAGATATTTCCATGTACGGAAACAGACGCTCAACATAATGCAATGCACCTTCTCGTCCCTTGCCTAGCGTATCTTGGTGTTTGATGGCGAAGCAGTGAGATGGCGGCCGATGCTGCTGTAAGTGAGTCGCAAAGGCTGACGCAGCGCGAGCATGCCGAGTTGGAGATGGCATGGCAGAGTCGGCAGGAAGGGATGCAAAAAGGCATCGGCTTTCTGCGAAAGCTTGGTGCTTACCAGCTATGGACCCAGAAGGCGAGAGCGGAGGTCGGATACGCGGCCTCGCGTTCTTCTCGCCAAATGCGCTACGCCGGTAGTATCTTAGCTGCCGCACCTGGAGACAATAAACGAGCATGCACTTACAAGAGGACAAACAGACTCTTGGAGCCCTCGGTGACTTGGCTGCGAGAGACATCGTCTTGCCAAGATGCACGAGCTATGTCCCTTCGGTTGTAGCGACTCGCTCGATCCCGGCCGTGATAGCGTGCGGACCTCCTCAGAGCTGATTTCTAGAATAAGAGCATATAGTGTCTACATTACCTCTAAAAACAATACGAGATCTGGCGTGGCGGTTGGTAAAAAGCTCGCTTGCGGCGGGGCTATCGACGAGGATAAGCCAACGAAGTTAAAGAGCGCTAGAGCGTATACAGAAACGAACCTGAGAGTAGTGTAGACAAATCGCGCATCGTCTCTAAGCTTTCAAATGCGCAAACTTTGCAGTGCGGAGAAAGCCCCTACTAAAGTCGCAAGGGGCCGTTGCATGCCAGAGATGGTCATGGAGCACCAGCCTGAAGGAAGTGAGATTGAGGGAAATTCATGAGCTGAGCGCGGGGAGTAACACGAAGGTAACAGCGGTGCTGGATTGCGCCTCCCAGAACCGTGCGCATCGTTGTGCACCCGCAACAGATGCTTGAGCCGTGGACGAGTGACACCGTCGCCTTAGCCTGGACGAGGGTACAGCACTAGCTCGTTGATGTTCCCACGCAGTTGGCGCGCCTCGCCTGCGGTCTCAGGGTCCCGGCTTCAGTCCTCGAGGTCCGCGAACGACTTCGAGCCGTGGAATGTTCGGATCTCGTTTATTGAGCATGCGCCCTGTTGCGGGCCCTGAGCCATGCCCAGGATCTCGATGACGCGAAAGATGGCGGGGCCGCCCCGTGCACGGTGTGCACCTGGAATGGCCTCGGTCGCCGTCTGGATGATGTTCACGAGGTCGTCGTCTGCGAACGAGTGGCACGAGCCAGCGTGTTCGAGGCTGAACGGCAATGCCAGATCGAGGGCCGATGAGTAGACGAGGGAACGCACCCGCCAAATGACCGCATGCACAGGTTCAGGTCGAGGAAAGTGCACCACAGCCGTCTGACGGTGACTCTGAAGTTGCCCGCCGCAGCTTCCCGGGATCCTCGCCGAAAAACAAACTTGAGCAAAGACGGTCTCTACCCATGTGATGTCCTCTTTTGTCCGTCGTCGCACACCACTGTACACCTCATCAATGACCGCGCAACCGCACCAGATCGAAAATTTGGACGACGTATCTCAATATGGCGGCGCCACGAGTCCAGGAAGCTCAGGAGCGAGCTCGTCCGGGTCGATAGTCATCGGGAACTGCGTCTTCCGCTGCGACTTGCATGCCCATATTGGTGGCAGCTCGTCCTTGTAATTGCTCATGTGCCTGGGCCGGTGACAACAACAGTTCTTAGCCAGCACAAAGTCGAGACCGGGGCCTGGATCGAGTACGCCCGAGGGCGTAGAAGCGCCACGATCTCCTTCTACCTACTTGTTGGCGTCGCGCTCTATGTTCCTGACACTTCTCACATCTCGAGCTCGTAGGGATCATCCGGCTGCGACAAGCGCCTCCGTAGGCGGGCACCGACTCCGCCCCTTTCTTGAGGACGAAGAGCGACGGCGCAGGCCGCATCGTGAGCGGAAAGCACGGACGGGCTGAGGAGACGAGAGGCAACAGCAGTGACGCACCAAGCGATGCGCAGGAAGCGCCATCATACGAGTAGCGGAAGAGGCCGACACCACTGCTCCGGAGGCGGACCTTACCGACTCGGACACAAGAAGTGGCATACGGCCTGACCGACGAGCTTAGCTTCCCAAATGGCTATGCGGACTTTCACCTGTGAACGCCGCCGACGGTATGTCCGATGCTTGCACGATGCGGTTGACTCCTCGGAGGCAGCTGGTACTAGCGACGTGCTGAACATTGTCTCTGGAACTCGCCCAGGGCACGAGACAATAACTTGGAAGATCATTCCCAGGGCTACGCAGTGCCTGCACCAGCTGCGATTTTCAGAGCACACGCCAAGACACTCGAACCAGTGAACGTGGCGCCATACACGATCTCCAACGAGCCGCATGCGATGTTCTCCGGCTCCAACCCCGGCTCGCATAGCTTTCAAATAGGCGGTCCGGGAGCAAAAAGAGCAAGAGGCTCGTTTCTCTGGCCGTCCGATTCTCAACCCCGCACGCTTATGCCATACCAGACGAGGCAGTAGCTATGCGGGCACGTCGTGGCGGGAAGCACCTACTTTGTCGGGTCAACGGGCTGACAGCGCGATATTCTGGACCACTGCGGATCATCCGCGAGGATGAAAGTAAGAGCAGCAACTTTGCGCGTCAGTAAGCAAAGCTGATCATCCACAGACACGCGGAGCTGGCCTTGACGGAGGCTCTATGAGGCGCACAGTATTCATAGCAGGACATCACACGGAGGAAACGGCAGGACACCACCGGCGAGATGGAACCGAAGGTTTCATTGGTATGTGTGCAGGAAGATGTGCGCACAAGGCTCTGCAGTCGCCTGTGTCTTCTTCTTTCCATGTCCGTGCTATCTGCGCTTGCTTGTCCGTACGTCATTGGAAAGTACTTCTACGTTCGGTCAGAGTACGATTCGGGCCGCCACGATACTCGTATATCACTGCCAGGTTTTCACTCAGGGCTTCCTTTGTATGACTGTAGACATCACTGAGGCTCTGCAGCATCGAAAAACGAGGACACTGCCTATTTGTCCGTGCGAGGCGGTGGTGCTGAACAGTGCACACCGCCCAGCTGCCAGATGTTGATTGCAAGTCAATGTAGCAGCCAATTATTGGCCACAGCCGTCACGATTTGACCGACAGCTATCCTCCGTTGACGACTTGAGCACAGGTCGGCGGTGTAGGCGCTCTGCCAGTGACATGCATCTCAGGTCTGGTTCCATTCCAGCTTTCAACAGCCAACGTGAGGTGGCTTCGAAGGTACACGCGCCACACATGCTTCCAGTACTTGTCAGGCACTCTTAGTGTTGCCGCGGTCTCATCCTGGACCGCGGTTTAGACCTGCCGCACTCTTAGACCTGGTCTCCCTCCTTCGCCCCGTACCCAGTCCGACACTCTTCCTGTTGGGCTGCTACCATCTCTCTCTTCATTCTCTCTATTCACCCGTCACTGTTTCCATCGTCGCAGAGTACGCTGTAAATCCGCATGCCAGTGAAGACTTCACGACGCAGAAATCGGGCGGGCGGTCCGAATGCCAAGGTACGCAGACCGAATATAAGTCGAACTCTGTCTCAGCGGCTCGTCTTCATATCTCTCTGCCCCAGGAAAACTCAGGTCTCTCCGGCTGGGTTGGTATAGAGAATACTGTGGCGAAGGGTGACGAAGGGAAGATGGAAGGATATTCTGAAAATATCGATACTTTGCTCGTCTTCGTACGTTCCCCATCCACATCTTCATGCTGTTTGACCTGACACCCACCAAGGCTGGTCTATTCTCCGCCATCCTGTCTGCATTCGTCGTCCAGACCTACCAGATGCTCCAGCCGTCAAGCGCCGACCTGACGAACCAACTGCTTACGACGAATATTCAGATGATCGCTCAAAACAATCAGATCCTCAATTAGATTCCAAGGATCTTCTGCCACCCTCACCATACCCATATTTTCCCCTCCTCAGTTGCTATCCCCCAACGATCCACCGCCATTCCGGCCCTCGAGCCCAGCACGATGGATCAAAACTCTGTTCTTCACCAGCCTCGTCCTCAGTCTCGCTGCCGCCCTGCTGGGCATCCTGGTCAAGCAGTGGGTGCGTGAATACATGCAGTGGAACTCACCTCTTGCAATGCCGCGGGAGAACGTCATAGTGCGGCAGTTTCGGCTCGAGGCATGGGAGGCCTGGAACGTCTCGGCGATCGTCTCGACGGTGCCGGCATTGCTCGAGGTCGTGATGATCCTCTTCCTGATAGGCATGGTCATCTTGCTCTGGACCCTGGACGACGTTGTCGCGATCTGTTTAACGGCTATGACGGCGCTGTTCCTGCTGGTGGTCGCCGTGTTCACTGTCCTGCCTGTGTTCTTTCACCGGTGCCCATACAAGTCTCCGACGGCATGGGCGGTCATTGCAGCTTGTAAATTTACGTCCTATTCAGTGGTCTTCTATCTTAAGTGGGGTCGAGCATACACTGCTCTGCTGCATCATCGATGGCGCCATTTCATTGATGGTAAGTCATGCAAGACCGAACATGCTGCTCGCAGCCTAATATTCTCTGTCAGAATTCCTAGAAGCCTTTACTGACGGTTCCATTCAGGAACGCATCATTTTCATATTACTTTTCCTTCTCGCCGCTATTGCAGTAGTCTTATTCGGCATAGACGACGACAAATTGGAATCACAAGATCGTGTCGAATGGAAGCGACTACCACTCAGCTGGCGCAACATCGACCTCCTCAGCTGCAGAACCATGCTGCCACGCTTTGGATCCCGACAGCTCAAGGAGGAAACTATGCGCACCGCAGCACAGGAAGCCCTTTCTGCCGGGGCATCAGATGGCTCGGAGTGAAAAGAAGAGCTGTTCGGCGAGGTCAGGGAGACCGTCCTCCTGCGAGCATTGTCCTGGGTGGCGAAGTCATCTCAGAACTCTCACGTCGTCACGTAGATAGAGAAATGCTGTGATTAAGAGCAGCTTCCACATGAGCGTACCTTGGATCTCCTTCGTGCAGCCACTTCAAGACCCGGTTCTGAGGTGCGGCGGCTCCTTCTCCAATTTGTCCTTGATTATTCCAAGCACTGCAATACTTCTGCTCTGCTGCATAGGGCATACATTGGAGCTATGCAGACTCGGAGCTACAGGGTCATGCTATCCATGGCTGACAAACATCCAGGTAAGCGCACACCTGGCTTAGGGGGGAGCATCTGCTAACGTGTAAGGTGCATTTTCCCAGTGCTCACCGAGCAGGGGCGCACTACAGCCGCCGACTGCGATCTACTCCTGGCGGAGTATATCCCATCTGAGTTCACTCACGCCAACCAGGATCACCTCGAGATGTTTATCGCCACAACATCAGTGTGGCTCTGGAGAGGATGGTCAGGGTGGCAAACATCTTGTCTGTTGAGTCCGCTGCACCGGCTGAGGCCGCGGCAGGCATCTCGCAGGACGGCAACGGCATTGAGGTCCGAGCTGACCTTCAGGAGTGGATTCAGCGACTGTCTTGGAAGAGCACGACGCTGACGGAGCGGTATGACGCACTCTTCAGAAGGTGTACAAATTGGACAAGCTCCGCGGCGACCAAGGTTTGATCCTGTATTATCTACACGTCGCACTCGGGGAGTCACACAACGAGTACGGGTCCACGTGCGAGGTCGACGGCTGCCCCTGAATCGGGCACATCATGAACTGGGACGAAGAAGGCAACGATTATGTCAAGTGCAATCTGCTCTCGAAGAGAGTCAGACCCGCCTCTGCCGTGGGTGAGCGCCGCGAGGAACAGCTGGCCGAACCCCAGCTGTCATCATCGTCTGGACCGCAGCCATCATCGTCACCCGAATTGGCCATCTTATCCGATCCGCCACAAGGACTCACCCAAGCCGAACCATGCTCCACGATACCGCACGAGGGTTCTCCAATACCAGCTGTCAACACGCCCGAATATCGGAGTTCGCGCTCTCCGTTGTCGGCCACCAAGCACAAGGCGCGGCGTCATGCGCTGGGAAGAGTCACGGTAGCGAGGTCAATGGACGAGCTGACAAGGCTGGAGGCAGCGCGGATAGAGCAGGAACGGCGGAGGTCCTGGGGCTGACGGTGCAGACTCCGAAGGCTGAACATGTATATTTACCAGTACATTGAGTACTAGATTGCGCTGTCGAATTTGTCGTTCATGCATGTGATAATGATGGCTCGAGTGAAGAGACTGTTGCACAGACGCCTTGGACAATCAAACACGACAATATAATTGTCTGTTCGATGAGCTATACGGTGGACGCTCAAAGACAAAACGTGTTAATAAAGACTGCCCAGTAACTAGCTGAACGCTTCTTCTCGCACACTAGAGCATAGGTAATAAGCGATACGATGCAGAAAGACTCGCCGCTCGACACACCTTTTCGACACTGATCAGCTCGTCTTGGGACACTGCGTAGCTTCCGCGAGCGCATGCGCCTCGGCCTCTTGCACCCTCTGTTTGTTGCCTAGAAGCGAGCACAGGAGTAGCTACCCAGTGGTGAGCAGCGTTCCTCTAATCAGACTGCCTGCCGTGCCTAATAGCCCCATCAGAGGCTGTCGCTTCTTCGGAAGCGCGAAAACGTTGGGCAGTGCTTGCGAAATACTGCTTGCTGCCGCTCTGGCATCCACGAGATCCTTGTCGGAATGTTGTTTCGCGACGATTTCGCGCAAGAGCATGCGCCACGTTGCAAGTTAGAGCGCGAGAGAATAAACCATGCAACCGCGACGCAGAAGTGGTACGGCTCCAAATTGACGTACCTCTCAGCATAGCGACATCGTGCAAGCGTCGATTTCTTACATTTCCTGTCATTTGCCACCGTGTGAGCGCTGCAGAATTTGTCCCCAATATTAAGTAACTCGATATAGGAAGTGACGGTCATACCGTACCTCGAATGCTCGGAGTCCGACTCGAGATCAATTATATCCAAACACTGAGTGTTGATATTCCTTCGCAGCTCCACCCCCGCGCGGGGAAAGTCGTGCACATCAGCTGTCTTATGCGTCAACATGTGCCAATATTGGCCTGAATTGTGGGCTCACAAATTGCAATGTTGTACAGGTGGCAGCCGTCCAGCCATGGTACTGGGATGTCACAGAATGCTTGCGAACACCCCGAGCATGGTGCTGCCGGTACATCTCTTGCTTCAGAGTCGTGTAAAGTGTCTACTCTTTGCGAGACTGTAGAGTCACTGACTTTTTCTCAGCATAGAATTAGACGCAGAAATTGAGCTTGAAGTGGACAGTAGAGACGGGGCGACGTACGTTCGAGATGGACGGCGTCAGTTGCTTCGCCATCCCCACTGGCTGGTCCATCTTGGAGTAGTACGCTTGGCGCAGTAAGTACCATCTCATGCGACAGCGAAGCGTTGTCAAATCATGATTCAGAACGACGCACGAGCGGTCGATGCTGCGTTTACCGTCAGAGTCGGCCTCTGTACAGCGATATGGCGAAGGCGTTAGAGAATGCAGTTGATGAGCGGCCTGATGAGACCGGCATGAGGAAAGATGGAGCAATTCCTCGGCTCTCGACAGGGTGACTGGATCTATATGAGCGAGATGTAAGTACCGAAGCTTCAGGATAGGGGAGACGCGAACTGTGATAGTGAATTTGATACCGGCGGTGTCTGAACTCGAGCATGAGGGTAGTCAGGAAAACCGAAGCATTGCTCTGGCTTGGCAAACAACGGCCAGCGCGTGGCTTGATACGGTTATTACGCAGATCCAGCTCAGTTGTGAACATGAGATGGGGCATTGTGAGGCAAGGTCTGGAGCGATGCCAGCTTGTCATATAGTAGCGAGAATCGGATATGCTGATCAAGAAGCGTACCTCGAGTACAATGGCCATAATTGACACTGCTGGATTGCAGACAGGGAAGCCAGAAACGATCGTAGTAGTCGAGATCTGAGATGGACACTGCCACGTGACTATTTGATCTCAACAAGGATATATGTGCCCGCCCTGCAGAGTTCGCCTTCTCAGCTCTCCTGCCACAACCCTTCGAATGCTCTAACCGTCTGGTATATTTGCCTCACATCTGCTGTGTAATGATCTTCGACAGACGCTGATGCTCGTCGGCTGCGCCTCTTATCAACAGCATCATCGAATACACTCGAGAGTCGGGACCCATGCTGAGCCGGAAATTTAAAGATGGTGCGTACCGCCTTATTTCCCTACTATCGCACCGCTTTATGACAGCGATTTTGTACAGACTTGCTCCCTCAGCACTACACAATCCACTGTCGCGCTACACCGCGCTCCTCTTCGCGTACATCGCTGCCAGGAAGGCCAGCATGAGGACGAACAGCACCCAGTGGTACCACACGCTACATCCTGGCAATGCAGCGTCGACCCGGAACAGCACATGCGCAAGACGTCTGGCTGGGTGAAGGGAGCTGAAGGTGGGGAGTTGTGGAGCCGGGCGATTTGGCAAGACCTCGCCAGTGGTCAGGAACGATGAGAAGGTCGGGCCGGAGCCAGGCTATTAAGCAATGGTCTGTGGTACCTTTTGGTGTGTCTGTAGCCGTTGTCCTTATGGTACTCAAGATTCTGTCGTGGCCGACGGCTAAAAGCCCTTCATGAAGCTTTGAATTTGAAGCTCCATCTCTGCCATCCTACGCACACGACTCGGAATACTCTGAAGCGTTCTCTCGTCTTCTCGGCACTCTCGCTTGCGCATACAGACTATGCTCGCGGCAGTATCCGTACCTTCTGCACAGCATCATCATCTTGAGCTGTCCCACGATCACCACCACCTGTTCGCTCTGCCTCGCCTCAAGGCTGCGAACGTCCCATTTACTCTTTATCCTACTGCTTAGCACTCGCATGCAAGGCCATACATTTACCTGATATTGCCTGATCCTCTTCTTCGCGGCCAGGATCGCTCCGCCGTGGATCGACGACACCTCCAACACGTGCACACCTCCCAAACTGCTCGTAAAATGGCCTATGCCTATGCTGAGCCTGGACATACCATCTCTGCGATCCTCTCTCGTCGTGATTTCCACAAAAATGATGGTCGCAGACCTGGGTCTCGAGTCAGGACGTGTGTTAGCGAATGGCGCGCCATGGTCGTTGGTCAGCGTGCCTCTGTTTCGATGGCAGCGCTGCTCGAAGCCGGTTGTCGCCCTCCACGCATTCGCTACAGATGCAAACGCGCTCACCACGGGACAGTGATGGCTGAATGCCTTCATGTCGATCATGTGCATCTGCCCCCCTCTGCGTCCAACTTTGGCCTCGAGATCTTGGTGCTTGTATGCGCTCGTGTAAACTTGGTCGCGCATGACCTCAACGCTATCCGTTCGTACCTTTCGTAGTTGTGTCCTTGATATGTGTGCTTGCATTGTACTCGTAGGCCGTCGTCCAAGAACCTACAACCACGGATGACTGTTTCTCGTTTCTCGTTCACTGGTTCGACGCCTGGAGGTGGAGTAAAGACGAGGACGAGATGAATGCCTTCATCGTCTGCGCCGTCCGTTGGCTTTCGCGGTGCGATGTTACGACCGCGCCTCTGGAGATCATCGACATCATCATCGACAGTATATCCAGAGTCTCTAACGCGATAGAGCGGCGCAACATCCACGATTCTGGTGATTGCGAGGACGAGGAGTGAGCGCACTAGCCCTGGCTACGACAACCTCTTCCGGCTGAACCACACGCTCTCCGCGATCCTCCTCCCCTGGCGCAAGCAGTTGATCTGCAACAGCGCCCAGATGGAGAACCAGGACCTCTTTCGCTGCGCCTTTCACGGTAGCCCTACCCTCGCGCATATGCACCTCGGGCCGGACGAGTAGATGCTTCCGAAGGCTAAAGACCCGGGCCTTCATGATAGGCCATTGAAGCGCAAGGCAGCGCGCCACGCGAGGGCTGTGGCATTGGTGAGGGTTCATGGCTGGATTGACTAGAGCTCGACGAAGCCAGGGGCAAGGCGGGTGACTGGGACAGCTGATTCCTTCGGTATGGAGAGGTGGTAGAGAACGTATATTCGGCTGCTACATAACAGCATTAATATCGAGAGCAGGACCGAACGTTTACGAGTGAGATAAGGAGCGGCGCGAACATGGAATTACATCTGCCGGTCCCTCAGACGTCCAGTTATGACGGCAGGCTGGCTGAACATGCATTTCTAGCCCCATGATGCTTCATATTGGGGGAAGGATGGAGTGGCATCAAAAGAGAGATGGGCTCCGCATGCGCGTACGCGAGACCTTGCGGATCAAGCCAGACGCCACCAGGCTCACACCACTACCCTGATACGGCAACCGTTATTCGATGAAACGGCGACAAGCGGCTTGCAACCGATAATATGTGCTTCTCCGTTCACGCCTGCGTCTCGGTTATAGGCTGCATTGCAAGTTAGGAAATGCTGAGGGATGGGCGCTTATATACACAGAGATGGGCGCTTATACACGGGGACGGGCGCCTATACACAGGTATGCTCTTTCTTGTTAGCGCCCACCTCAGTATCGCGCTCTGTGCTCCATCTTGAATGGAGGCGGCACAACAGGCCTCCAGCGCTCTGTGCTCCATCCTGGATGGAGGCGGCACAACAGGCCTCCGGCGCTCTGTGCTCCATCCTGGATGGAGGCGGCACAACAGGCCTCCGGCGCTCTGTGCTCCATTCTGGATGGAGGCGGCACAACAGGCCCCCGGTGCTCTGTGCTCCATCCTGGATGGAGGCGACACAACAGGCCTCCGGCGCTTTGTGCTCCATCCTGGATGGAGGCGGTACAACAGGCCCCCGTTGCTCTGCTCTGCTAGCACCTGCTAGCACCTGCATAAACTCTACGCTTTTTGCTCCATCTTGGATGGAGGCAGTGTGACAGGGCTCTGGAGGGTGCTTAGAACTGCGCGACTGCGCGCGACTT